CGCCTACTAGATGCCCAGCACCTTACAGATTAGCAGTTGCTGTTTCCGCACCCCAATGTAATGAAATAATTCCCCTTTTCAGAAGGATTATGAATTTGGGTAAACCAAGGTCTTTTATGGTAAAGATACAGAATTAATTCTACCGAATCATTCCTTAAACGTATGTGTGTGTGCGTGCGCAGAAGTACACCCCTCTTACGATAGAAGTCATATTCTTTATTTTGAAAAATGCCGCCTATTTTTTTAATGCAGCATAATGTTTTGAAACAAAATCATTCCATTGACCACACGAGGGATTTAATTTGTGCATTTGTATGAAAGATTATCCATGCCGGTACTCTCCGTAGCCTCCTCAGTGCAATCAGTGTTTAATGACTTTATCGACTGCTCCCGTTGGCTTGTTGACCCAGACCCCACAATATTGGCGAGGACCCCATGGGCTCCTGACTGCAGGCCTGGCGCACACTGCTGTGTCTTGGGGTACTTGTTGAAGAACTGAGCACGCCCGGGAAGAGTGTGGATCACCTTCACATGTTATGTCAGGTAATGAGATTCTGCGTACTCTCGGGGCTACTGTTATGCCTGTGTTTATAATTGTAATCACACCACCATTTCCATCATTCTATCAGGCCAGTGTTATTTTTCTCCCAGAAGCTGCGGCTCAGAGCAGTGAAGCAGTGAACCTGGAGACTTGGGGCCCATTCAGAGCGACTCTGAAACCCCTGCTCCTAGCCAGAATGCCTCCTTGCCTCCTGGGGGTTACACGAGATTGGCCATGAGAAAGAAAACACCACCTTCAAAGCAGATATTTTAAAAAATTGATCCTGAAGCTATATATTTTCCTCAGTTAATTGTAGCTATTTGGCATGTTTCTTCTTTAGCAGTTTATAGACTGTAATGCAGAACGCCATGATTCCTAGAGATGAAAATAATCCAGTCTGCCTGGGTTTCGTGGAACGAGTGGGTGTAATTTAGAAAATTCTCATTTATTAGAACATGGTCCTGGGTGGTCAGGTTGTTCCTGCTACCGGATTACTGGCGCCTCTACCCCCAACCACCTGCTTCTGGCGACACCTTCAGGGCGGGAGGGTGACCGACCACGAAGACCCACCCCATTTGCACTATACTGTCCAGGCTTGGGTTTTTCCCTACCGCGGGTCAGAGCTCCATCTGGTGCGTGAAACACTAACAAGAAACACGTTCAACATTTCAAATGTGATCTGTGACCTACTGGTTTCCCCCACCAGTTGGGCATCTCCTATCACAAGGATCTTAAAATCGAAACAGAAAAATCTGAAACTATGTGGAAAGGAGAAAAAGCAGGTAGAGAACAAGTGGTTCTCAGACATGCCACTTCCCAGAATGACTCAAGAGGCTCCGTTGGGTATCGGTTTTGAATGTGGAACCCTGAATCAAGTTTGTTAGCATCTCTAAGTTCATGTACTGATTTAATTCAGCCTTGAGCTTCCTGGCAGGCATGTGAAAATGGAAGCACTTTCCATTTTAACATTTTCCACTTGGGGCACCCATGTAATTTCACACCTATCTATATTACAAACCACCGAATTTTAGAAAAGATTGAGGTGGGTGGCTTACATAATTCTCACACTCACACAGCAGTTCTTCAGGAGGGGCAAATGTCTCCTTGGCACTGAATTCATTAAAGGAGAAAAAAAATCTGAAAAACAAAATCTGATAGTTTACGGATATTGGCTTTTTATAACTTTTCAAGTTTTCCAATTTTAAAGAAATACATGTCTCTGTAACAGTAAAATATGCAATTACCCTTAACGTGTTTTATATCTCCCCCACATTATTCTGTGTATACCCATTTAAAATTAAAATAGGATAATTAAATACATACTGTTGTAAAAATCTGCTTTTTACACTTACCAGTAATTGCATGTACATCTTTCCGTGATAATAGAGACTTCCGTTGTCTTTTTAACACATATATTGTATTTAGTATATTCATGTACTGCAATTTATTAAGTTTTCTCTCAATGGGCATTAAGTTGTTTCTAATTTTTCTGTCATAAATTGTCGTACCTTCAGTTTCTTTATATAAATGCATTTGCTCACTGGTGTAATCCTTTGCTTGACAAAATCCTAAAAGTAAAATTACTAAGTTTGAACCTTTGCCACCTGGAAAAGTTCTGGAAACAGTGCCAACTGCCCTCTGGAAAGGTGTTAACAGTGTCAGGTCCTACTCCTGGAAAACAAAGCTGTGGATCTTTTCTTACCAGCACCGATCAGCAGGTGGAACATGAAATACGACAGTCATGTCTCTAATACTCCTCAGGTGTCAATATATCATCTGGTCTTTGGCCACTTGTATTTCTTATTTTTGAGTGTATTTATTAATATCCTTTGCCTTGTTTCTATTGGTGTAATCTTTTTTTTCTCATCATGGACTGTCTTTAGAGTGAGGATATGAATTTTTGTCTGACATATTTTGCCAACAGGTTTTTCTTTAAAAAATTTCGGTGGTATTTTTTAAGTTAAAATAGTTAATTTTTTTCTTCATAATTTCTGGCTTTGGGTGCATCAGGAAAAATTTTCCCCCACCTAATAAACCAATTCTCCTGAATTTCCAGGTAACCTGACTTAGGCTGTCAGTTATCCACTTAAAGCTCTATTCCTTTTGATTTATGGGAGAGACCTGGATGTATTTTTCTGTTTTGTTTCCAAACAGTTGTTTCTGTATCATCTATTGGAACAAATCTAACTTGTACTCTGGGGTTTGACATAATTTCTTTATCTGTTTATTTCTAGATTTCCTCTTCTCTGTCAGGAGTATCATACTTTCATATTATTGAGTTTGAGTAACATATTTACAATATCACATTGTAATATCCTTATCTTCTAGAATAAGCTTATTGGCTTGCATTTTCTCTTACGGGCGAACTCTAAGACTTTCAAACACTATCTTCCACCTAAGTTTTATGGAAACTGCAGAGGTTCTCTGCGTTTGGGTCATCCCTAAGGATAAATAAAAGCCCAGAGAGTAAAGCTGTAGGCAGCCCATGCTCTGGGGAGAGAAGGCAACGGGCAAGTGGCTAATCCAAGGAGGCACAGATATGTCGGCTCCCAGTGCATCAGAATGACCCAAGAGCAGACTTCAGATCTTGAAGAGCAGTTGCATATCCCTCAGGCGGTCTTCCTTGATTTTTACAATTTTCATCTGAACTGCTAACCAAGGAAACCCGAATAATACAACTGGGTTGGTACTTCTATGTTGGCCTTGGATTCGAGATCGTGGTGAGCAGGATTTGCTTTTCTCTTCACAGGAAACAAGTCAGAACTAGCTATGGGGCAAATGGAGAGCTACTACCTTTCTTCTGCTGGACATGGCCTGGGGATGCTGCAGGCAAAGCCAGCATTCTTCCAGAAACAGCTGTGAAGGTGCTCACCTCAGCTTTGAGAGGTGTCCAGTTACCTGCACTATCGAGGATGGAAATAATTATCTTAGGCTGCAGACTGTCAAGATCAGGTGCTACTAGAGCTCTACCACAGAAAGGCCCAGAACAATAAGCAGGTGCCTCTGATCTTGAGCAGTAACACCTCCTGACAAAGTGGCCTGCCAGGGATGTTTACCACAAAATGTAATCTCTGGAACCTGCATTAATCTACTTCCTGGACAGGGCTAATCCTTCCCGTTTGTGTTTGGGTGAGAATCTTCCAGAGATGAAGATTTTTGTTATGGTCTGAGTTTTATTTTTTTAACAGAATTGCTTGTTCTGAAAATAATTAAGCTACAAGATTGGGTTCAGGTGAAGCCATTCCTTTTCCATGAAGGCAAATCAAGCTTCCCAGGATGAATGGGCACGTGTCTTCCTGTTCTTTCTGGCAGAGAGGCAGCTCCTAGAGAGGGTCCGAAGAGCCAACATCCAGATCTACGGCTGTCAACTGAGGCAGTACCCAATCCCCAAACAAACATAGCTGATTTTGCCTTTCGAAGGGATAAGCAGGGCTTACACATTTGCTTGAAGTTCTGTAGGATCACTATCTCATTCAGAACCTCTTGGGAGAAGAAAGCAGGAGAAAGACCCTGAGAAATACTTCTAAAAAGTCTAGGAACATAGGAAGAAATTTTTTTTTTTTTGTCTTTTGTCCATTTCTGTTATCCAATCTGTAGAGAAATGGAGGCACGGTATCTAAATTTGGAAAGCCTGGGTTCTAGTTCTAAGCCTACTAATTATTAGTAGCATGACCGGAGATAAATACTTCACTTCTCCTTGCCTTTGGCTGTTCATAAAGTAGCAAGGTACCTGTGAAATGCTTGCTATGGGTTTGCAGGATCAAATGAGCTAAGGTTTGTGAAAGCACTTGTAAACTCTGACAGGATCTATAGATACGCGTACACAAATAGAAATAAACTTCATGTGTATAACTAAAACTACATTTGCAGGACCAGAGGGATCCCGCACATCCTATGTTCACTCTTGAGTGATTCTGGAGCTGGTGCTGTGTTTGGCCAAGGCCCAGGTGGGCCACACACGGATGCTAAAGCGGACGTGACTGGTCACAACTGCCCCTTGAGCCTCATGGAGCCTGGGGATGCTTCTTTTTCTGAAAGAGAAATATTACAGCCAGGCAAGGGATGATTTTGTCCTTCATTATCATAGATGTTGTCCTTGTGTGACACCATATCTGAAAAGAACACCACCACTTTCTCTCTCAGCCACTCAGTCTTCCCATTAAGAACATATGGGGTTTTGATTGGATAGTCTGTGGTCACAAAATCTACGATCTACCCTCTGCAGTTATAATCACTGCATTAACATGGCCAAGACATGAAACCTCTAGGTAGACCTGGCATTCCAACTCTAAAGAGGAATCTTCTGGAAATACAATGGCTGCTACTGATGACTTCCAGAAAATCTTGGCTGCCATCAGGGAATAGTGGCTCTCCAGGGCCGGGTCAGGCGAGTGACTGAGGTTGGGGCCCAGGATACTCTGCCTAAGGCAGAAAAGAGCTGCAGACCTCATCCGACCTCTACAGACACACCCAGAACATGCCTGGGTCTTTTATTTCCCCATTGCACCATATGCAGTGCCTCCCCAGGGCTGAGGTTTATGAGTCCCACTCGGAGGGCAGGCCTTCGTCAGTATCCTACAGTTCCCTGATGCTTCTTATTGAAAGGATTGTAGGGTTTTACAGTTGTGACCATTCGAGACAGCGGTGCTTGGTGACGGAAGACATCAACTTCCATTTCTTTCCGTAAGATGCTATAAAGGGGGTGGAGAAAAAAAAGAAAAAAATGACCCATAAAATATACATAAAAATACATAACCTCATCTGTTTTCCAACTAACAATACACATGTTCAGGAGAGTGAATGAGGGTCAGGACAGCACATAACAGAGAGACTGGGAATGATTAATCCTTGTGTGCATTGTTTCATTTATTTCTTTTATTTGCATTGAGTCTCATTTATTGCATTACATGCATTATATTGTAATCGGTTTCATTGACTGAAAATCTACTCTGTGCCTAGAGTTACAGTAGGTGCTAAGAATAGATAGAATAGAAAATGTAGTTAAAAGGAGGTACTCAAACGTTACAACACAAAGTCCCTATACTGGCAAGCCTGGGGCAAGGGGCCCAGAGAGGTAGAGGACTCGATCCCAGGACCCCAGGATCACAACCTGAGCCGAAGGCAGACACTTAACTGACTGGGCCACCCTTTTTAATGCTATGATTATCATGATGTCAGAATATTTTATTGTGTGGTGGAAAACATCTGTTGAAGTACAAACTCAAGCTTCTGTTCAGGTGGCGTTCTGGTGTGAAGGAATGCACAGGAAACTCCGGACTGTCCTGGAAACAGGAATGAGGAGAAACCCCCATGTGCATTCTCTCGCTCTCCAAATGGGAGATTGACAACATCAGTCTCCCCCACCTCCTCCACCCCTGCCCCTCACTTCAATCTCATCCACTAATCTCTTTCCTTGCTATTCTGTGTCTCATCTCAATATCAATCTTAGGCACAGGTGGTGTTTTGTACACCTTGCTCAAAATGTGTTACCGGGACCACATGGACCACAACCCCTTGGCATTGACATTCAAGGCCTTAACTCCTTAATCCCAGACTACTGCAACCTCCCAGGCACAAAGATCCACGGCAAATGCACCAGCCCACCCTCTGCATGAAGGGGCATCAACGGTGTTCAGTGTTCAGCCTCTCCTGGTGGTCTTACCAGCCTACATCTGGTGGGCAGGAGCACTGTTGACTGGCAATGTCAGAACGCAGACTGCGAGAGGTTGACAGAGAGTGGGCTGGGAGGGCATGGAGGCAGACAGGGGAAGGGATATTTGCCTCTGAAAGAAGCTTAGGAGTGAGAGGGAGGAGGGCAGACAAAGGGATGGTTGCTCAAAGGGGACACCTTTAATTTCTACAGCAGGGAGGTGGCTGGGGTGGGAGGTGGCCAGGTTTCTTCCCAAGCAAGAGGGAGGGAGCAGGGTTGAAGAGGATCCAGTGCTCAGACGGAAGGATGAACTTTTGGAAGAGCAAGACCTCCTCTTTGGGGGGAAAGGAGACAGAAGCAGTGGTGGGAAGAGAGATTCTAATGTTGGGGGCAGGGAGGGGAGAACCCACCAGAACACTTGGAGATGGGCTGCAGGCACAAGCAGCCCGCATGGCCCCCCGGGGCAGTGCGAGCCCCTCGCACCGGGGCTTACCAGAATACCAGAGCCTGGGCTCGGGAGCGCCTCTCAGAAACAACAGGAAAAACGCAGCAGATCAGTCAGACACCATCAGGAGGAAGTCAGCTCACTAAGTTCTCATGATACTCACCAGAGAGAGACCTTGACTCCCACTTTCACAGGGAATTTTCAGCAAAAATACATTAAATATAGTGTCACAAAAATTGAGAGCTGATGCTTCATGAAGGAGAATCTCAAAGGCCCGATGTTCTCTGATCTCAAGGGCCAGGGGGCCTCCTCGTGTTAGAGAGAGCTTTTTAAAGTCTGACCGCCCCACTGTGTTTTCTCGCTGCCAAGCCCCAGGGCCTGTTGGGCGCCGCCGTTAGGAGCGGGCACAGGGATAGGGGTCCGGACACCCGGCCCAACAGAGCTCGGTCGCTTCCTTGTGAGTGACCCTCGGGTTGCTGCCACCATCTGTCTCCAGAGCCTATGTGTACCCCAAGAATAAGAACCCCAGAGAAGCCACCGCAGAGGGTCCTCAGTCCCCACCCTGAGACAAAATGACAGAGCTGTGTGCAGTGTGGGGGGATGGTGAGTGTGGGGCTCACCAGAGGTCAGCAATGGGCCTAAACCTGAGCTTGAGGGTGTGGCCAAAAGACTCGAGTCCTTTTCCCAGGAAGTAACAGCAGTAGGAACATTAGGAACAGCAGGAACAGCAGTAGCAACATTAGGAACAGCAGGAACAGCAGTAGGAACAGGAGGAACAGCAGGAACAGCACCAGGAACATTAGGAACAGCGGGAACAGCACCAGGAACATTAGGAACAGTGGGAACAGCACCAGGAACATTAGGAACAGCAGGAACAGCGGTAGGAACATTAGGAACGGCGGGAACAGCACCAGGAACATTAGGAACAGCAGGAACAGCGGTAGGAACATTAGGAACGGCGGGAACAGCACCAGGAACATTAGGAACAGCAGGAACAGCAGTAGGAACAGCAGGAACAGCAGTAGGAACATTAGGAACAGCGGGAACAGCACCAGGAACAGCAGGAATAGCAGGAACAGCAGTAGGAACATTAGGAACAGCAGGAACAGCACCAGGAACATTAGGAACAGCAGGAACAGCAGTAGGAACAGCAGGAATAGCAGGAACAGCACCAGGAACATTAGGAACAGCAGGAACAGCAGTAGGAACAGCAGAACAGCAGGGAGAACACCAGGAACATTAGGAACAGCAGGAAGAGCACCAGGGACATTAGGAATAGCAGGAACAGCAGGAACAGCAGTAGGAATAGCAGGAACAGCAGTAGGAACATTATAGCATTAGTAACAGTTCAGTAACAGTGAAGGATGGTTTTCCACTTGGAAATACAGATTTCTTTGAAATATAGTAGAACATGGAACCGCTAGATCACGTGGCCGGGGAAACGTGCTAGACCCATCAGGTATCAGAGCTGTGGTCTGAGACGTATGGGGAGAGAAGACGGATCATGAAGGAAGAAGGCAAGGGATCAGGAATGTTCACATTTGCCCTGGGAAGACATAACTGGGTCTGTCCCCTGTCATTATCCACCCAGACACAGTGTATGATTCCATCTTTGTGGACACTACGTCTAAACAACAGACATCAGAATGCATTTAATTTTGCAATTGTTTCTTTAGGCCCATCAGCGAAATAAAATCCATTAATTGTCTAAATTTCCATCAGTCCTGCCTTTGCAAATGGATCTGTGACTTTGGAAAATGTGTCCTGAGAGAAAACTGATTGAATGCAAAATAGTAGCCTTGAAAGCCAATGTCCTCCTTTAAAATGTTTCTTATCAGGTGACCCAGAGGTTCTAAGCAATCAGCAAACCCAGAATTTAGATCAGTTGATGAAGCCCTCTGTCAGCAGGCACTTCCCTGTGCCCAGTCACTGCCTGAGGAACCAGGTCCTGCATACAGGGTGTGCAATGATCTGGGTGCCCCACACGGCCCTCTTATGGTTCCATGGTTGTGTGGTGAGGGGCTTCGCATGTGGGATCCCTGGAATAAGCCAGTCCTTCCACACACAGCCTGGCCCGCAGATATCTATGAGACCAAGGGTCACTGCCTGAACCCCTTCCTCTGTGAAGCCTTCCTTACTGCCCCCCACGTGGATCCATGCGGATCCCCTGAAATCTTCTGTTTGCCTCACTGTCCTGATCTGTAAAATGGGGAAACAAGAGCATAGCCCTCACAGGGTTTCTGGGTTGGTGAGATGACTTGGTAAGTACAAAGCACTTGGATAGCCTGGTGTAGACGAAGCGCTCACCCATGTGAGTGACAGTATTAGGGTGACATGCGTCATCCTCTACTATGGTTGTGTGTTTCTTGCTCACGGCTAGACTCTGAGCTCCTTGCAAACTGGGTCTAGTTCTTGTGAATTCCTGGAGAACCACGAACTTGGTTGACCCAGTGAAAGCACATACAAATGAACCAGTAAAGGCATGAGTGAACAAGAGAATAAATAGCCCATATGAACTGACCACTAGGGCCCACGAGGCTCTCCCCAGTTGCCCCCTTTCAGAACATGTAAGAAATCCAGTGGGATGGCTTGGACTCTGCCTGAAGGCCACCTCCTCAGAAAGCCCTCCCGGACTGCCAAGCTAACTCAGCACCCTGTCCAGGCCCTACCTACTACACCTCCCCACCTTTTCTCCTTGGCAGCACATAGCACTCTCTCAAATCATTTTATTTCTTCAATTACTTGTGTGCTTTTGTGCTGTCTGTCACACCAGAACGTAAGCTCCTGAGAGCCGGAATCACGTGTGCTCAGGGCCTTGAATGGTGCCTGGCCCAGAGTGGATGCTCAATAAATGTTGGATAAATGAATGGATTCTCTACCAAAAGGAGCAAAGGCACCCTTTGGGGGAGAACCACCTCCCTCCTCCTCCAAGACGCACAGGGACCTCCCGGGATAGTTTATTTATTTGCAGGAACCAGCAACTGGACCCCTTTAAGACCGCATTTGCATTTTCAAGACTGTGTCATGTTATTTGCAAGCCCAGGACCTCCATCAAACATTTTCAGATTTGAGTTATAATGAACAATAATGCGTTGCTTCTCTCTGGCAGCCCCAAATAACGGAGTCCACAAGAGCCTTCCATCTGAGATCTCCTGCTTTCGATTCCTAAAATGGTGTTTAAAAATACATGTGACTTTCAACAGAATGTTGTCTCATGAAAACTAAGGCGGTGATTCACAGGGAGTAAATATGTGGCTCATGCGATGGGTTCCCAGCATCCACCCGTGTTCTGCTGGTCACGCAGAAGCGTGCTATGGGTGCAAAGCTGTAAGTCCAAGAGGTAAAGATGTCGCTCACCTAACACACTTTAAGAATCTTCGTAGGCTCCTTTAGCAACAGCAGGAAGATGAACGCTTCTGTCTTTTGGACTTGACACCCCATTTTTAAAAATGATGTAAATTTACTCTTCATATGTAATTGTTCTTTAATGGAATAACCATAATGACGATCCCTCCCCCGACCCCCGCCTGCCTCCAGTGTCTCTGAGCACATTGAGTAATAGGACTCAGACTTACCGGTGCACTTCTGAGTCTGGTGATGGGGTTGTTGATGGAATATCAGAATTTGCCGGGTGGCTGGCTGCGAAATGAACCTTCCCGGTGTATCCTGGGATATTGGCAGAGCTGAAGGAAAGAGTTAAAAGAGAGGGGAGAGAGGAAATGAAAAGAGGCATTTGTGAAATAGTTCGGGTCACCAGCACCCACACATGAAAGTACAAAGGGCGACTCTGGAAATCCGGTTGGCAAACAGGAAAGGGTAGAGGCAGGGGCACAGTGACTCAGAAATGCACACATAGCCGCTCTGCTCTAGGACTGAAAAAACTCATTTCCAGCCCATGTTTTTCCTATTATTTGAATTTGCAGGTATTTTACATACATGATTCACCGCCAAGCTGTTTCCTAGTGAAGGAGGACACAGGTTCTTTATAGAACCGCAGACCTGTCCTCCACACATGACCCTGTCATGCTGACTCCAGTCCTAGTCGACACACAACTGTGTGGGCTTTTTTTAAGATATTGAGAGAGGGAGCAAGAGAGGGAGCACCAACGGGGAGTGGCAGGCAGATGGAGAGGGAGAAGCAGACTCCCCGCTGAGCAGGGAGCCCGACGTGGGGCTCGATCCCAGGACCCTGGGATCATGACCCGAGCTGAAAGTAGACGCTTACCCGACTGAGCCACCCAGGCACCCACATAACAGTGTTTTTAACATAATATTTTCTTATCACCATTGTTGTACTGCATTCCTGATGTCACGTAATTTCTTGAAATTTCACAGACTTACACAAGCATGGGCTTGTTCAGTGCAACCCCACTTACTCTTCTGCCTTTCCTGTCCTTCTCCCACCCGCGAGAGGGGAGGGAAGACAGCACGGGAACATAGGGGAAGGTTCTTCACTGTAGATATAAACTCCCTCTCTAGAAAGGGAAGCAAATATTCCAAAGAAGTATTTTAATAGGCAGTTCAGAGGCATATGTATCCTGACTAATACTTTTTGCCATCTTCATAGCACACAAATGTTTGAAGTGAATTCTTTGCTGAGGGAGAGGTGGGGCTGAGCTCCGGGGCAGGGCTGTGTGGGCTCAGTCCCCAGTGCTGCTTACAACCTGTGGCCGTGGCCTCCCCGGAGCCAGGGATGGTAGGGAATTTAAACTGTATTTCAAGGAGCAAGAACCCACTATGTGCAAATCCTGACGCTCACTCAGCTAGTACGTGATCTTTGTGGACTTGAACTGCTAGCATCCTGCGGGTGCTAGAGCCTCAGCTCATCGTACGTGTTTGGGAGGGACAAGGATGACCGCCACCATCGTTCATAAACCAGGAGCGAGGAAAGGGCCAAGACAACGGGCTGCCACTTCTGCTCAGTCAGTGGTTGGCACTTCCCATCCCTGGGCCTTTTCTTCAGGAGCGTGATATTTCTCAGGCGCTGGTCCTCGTTCGAGACGGATGCGCAGACAAAATGCAATACAATGACAGCTGCAGCAAGGAAACCTCTGTCCAGGGCGAACGACCAGTTCCTCTGTGGGTCTCTTGCTTGCACCCGCGGCCTTCCCCACCCCCCACACACAATAAGCCAAAGAAAACGTCCAGGATCCATTTGCCTTAGGAGAACGTTTTGAAATAGGAGGCTTCAGGGGAGTTGGTTCTTAGAGCAGCAGGTGAGGAGGCGGATGGAGGAGAGTGGCATGGGGATGTGGGTGTGGGCTCAAGGGTCAGGGCTCCGATTCGAACCCCACGACTCCGCTCATTAGCTCACAGGACTGCACCACAGACGTGGAATCTCTCAGAGCCTTACTGCCTCAGCCACGCAAGGGGGTAAAGACAGCAAACTCAAGGCCTGATCGTCTTTGGTGGGGAAAAGGTACCTGTTCCTGGGGCAGCCCCTTGGTGTCCCTCCGTGCTGGATCGTGGATTATAGCGCAGACCTTGGTGTTCCCTCCGCACATGGATCGTGGCGCAGACCTTCGGTGTATCCCCGGGCGTGGATCAAGGCACAGCCCCTTGGTGCCCTGCTCCCCACTCGTGGACCATGGATTGTGGCACAGACCTTTACGCATGGATCCTTTTATGCATGGAAAGGGCTCCTGACACAGCCCCTCCATGCCCCCCCACATGTGGATCGCGGCACAGTCCCTCGGTGTCCCTCCATGCATGGTTATCTGTTAGTATTGGAATGTTAGAGAAAAAATTATGTACCAGGCAGGAGTTGTACTAATAAACCCCATCTGTGTCTTGCAAGTGACAAGTCATAGCCTTGCTGTGACTATAGGTGATGATATACCGGCTTCCAAGCAGCAAAACAGGGACACCTGATGCTAACAGAGTGAAGGGACCGTGCATCAATGGTAATTGCAGAAGAAATTGTACACCTTATTGGATCTTGGGAGACTAGGAAAATGAGGTAGGGAGAGAGCAGGGAAGCCTACTGCATGGGGAGCCGGGCCTCTCTTCCACTCCTGACTTGCCCCTTAACCAACTGTGAGTTCTTCCTCCAGGGACGGAAGCCCTCTGGACCCCAGCCCAGTCCCCCTGCAGCAGGGAGAGAAACCCATCCACCTCTTCAAGGCTCATCCAGGGTAGAAGGGGGTTCAATGAATGTGAAGGCGGCCAGCAAATCTTCAGCACTTAGTAGGGGCTCAACTAATTTTAGTTGAAACACAAGATTTTAAGAATTTAAGATTTTAATGAGAAATTTACAAAATAGGAGCCTGATAGGTAGAGAAGGTGAAGTTTATCCAGCACAAGCAGCCAAAAAGATATTCAGACAGTGGCTTCCAAATGTCACACTGAATAACTCATGGGGATTTTTCAAAGGTACCCATGCCTGACTCCCAGCCCCCAGACATTCTGATTTAACTGGTAAGGGGGGTGTGACCTGGGAATTGGGGTCTTCAAAAGCTCTCGAGATAATTCTAGATAAGCAGTGCATCGAAGTTTGGAAATCCCCATGTCAGAGCTACATTTTCAGGTTTGTTGGAGGGACCTGGGTGATCAAATCAGCGTTGCCAAATTCTAGGCAGTGCCCTTTAGGATTTCCTGGAATTTTCTTGAAGAAGTGTGGCTGTATGTCAGAGAGGTAACCAAAAACAGGGCAAAATTATTCATGTGTCTGTCTTTCCCCCAAACATTCTATAAAGCTTCCATGCATGTTACAGAGGAAATCCCCTTCCTCTGCATGAGATGTTTTTTCCACTGCTTCTGAAACACCTGCAGAATTGAAATGCCTCTAAAGTCACGGCCTTCCATGAGAGCAGTTAAGAAGCCAAGATGGAGGCGAGCGGTCTGCCAACTGGGAGGAGAGCCTGGCAGAGAACATCAGACAGCTCCGCGTGCCCCATGGCACACAGGTTACTGCTGCGAGGTGGTATGACACACCACGCTATCATGATGATACGATGTTGTGTTACCTCACATCCAAAAACAACAAACCACGAGCCAGGAGACATTAAAGAGAAGCCACTTAGGCTTAAGAAATGAATTCAGTTGCATAACAAACCAATTTTGAAATTTGGCCAAATATTTGAAAGCGAAAGTCCTCACCCACGCCGCTTCTAAATCTATTCCATTTACCCACCCCCCCTTTGCAGGGACATCACGGGGGGAATTTTTTCCATCTTCAGTGCAACACGTTGACCTCCTGTCAAGAAGAGAATAGTCTCTGGGGGACACTCTGCAGCCCTGCTGCTGAGGGGTGACATGGGCTTTTAAATGTATTTCCAGATTGGTTCCGTGTTCAAAGACCCCCCTCCTCCTCTTAAGGAGAGCAGAGAGAAGCTGGAATTCATTTAAAAATAAGATAAGTCTTCATTGTTTGTCTTTGCTCCATAGCTTCTAGGCCTTTGAACACCTTCTGGCGTACTCCGATTCCCAGAGTAAACCGGGATTCTCTTTGCTATGGGTAGGTGGGAAGACATTATCGCCTAAATATGCAACTAACTGGCTTTGTTAAACCCAGCAAAATAAAATAGAAAATAAAGAATTTTAGAATATAAGGAACTTAGTGGGCTTCTTAGAAAAGGGAGCACAGAGGGTGTGTAATTAAAAGCTAAACAGGAAATGAAGAAGAAGAAGCTGTGGGAAGAGCAGGTTGTGTGTAGAATACAGGTCGTGTGCACGTGGGCTGGGATGTCAGCCCGCAGAGAGCTTCTTCGCTGTTCCCTGGACGTGGCTCATGCTCACGGGACCAGCCGCTGTATCCCAGGCACTGTTTTAAACACTGGCATGAATTCACTTAATCCTCACAAGACCCCGTTTTGTAGGTCCTAGAATCATGCCTGTCGTGCAGATGCAGGACCTGAGGTTTTAGAGAGAGTCTAAGGAACGTGCCCCGAGCCATTTGAGCTGGCGGGGGCACAGGACCACCCCCACCCAGAAGGCCCGGATGTAAGGGGTGCCATCCTTGCCTGGATCCATTTTGGACAACCAGGGCCCGCAGCAGAGGCAGGACAGCCCTGCTACCTCCGAGTGGTCGCATTTACTCAGGACACGGGTGCACATGCGAGTTCAAGTCAATTCGACGATCTTTCATTGAGAGCTGTTCAGTGTCAGGTACACATCCAGGCAGAAATCAGCCAGGCCTGCTCCTGACACCTTTCACTTAATGAGAACATTTTTAAATGCACATGTAGAGGTTTGAAGAACCCAAGTGGGGTGAAGACCGCCAATGCAAAGTAACGGGGAGGGTGGGAGGGGGCGTATGAGAGGGATACAGAAAGAGAGAGGCATGGGGTCAGAGGGCAGAGGGCAGAGAGGCTGGTATTGAACCCTGGGGCTGCCCCTACCAGCCATGGGACCTTAGACAACAGAACTGAAGCTCTGGGAGCCACACTGTGTTCTGGTCAGGGAACCTGTGCCTCCCCTGGAGGGGGCAGGGCAGGGGGAGGGGTCAAGACTGGCCCAGGGCAAGGGGGGTGGTGGGACAAAGGCAAGGCTGGGCTTTCGGGGAGGGCCGAGACAAGGGGGCTGCAGAACATTCTTGGGGTGCCCACAGCTAGAGGGGAAAAAGAAGGAGGGGCCTTGAGCTTGGATTTACTTGTTTTGACTGTCGGGCGAGAAATCTAAGTAAGACCACCATCATTTTGGACATTGGGTTGTGTTTCTCAGAATGGAAGATATTTGGGCCCCA